TTTTGGAGCTTTCCCTCCCATGCACTTCAGAAAAGTTTTGTATAACTACTCAAAAGTTTCCTTCTTCTCATCTTGTATGAAACCACATGCAAAGAGACATTTGTCTCCATGTTCATTTACACCCACAAACGGAGCAAACTTCAGATTGTACTTGTTTGTTTTGTAAGTTGTGTCAAAACTTAGGAAATCACCATATTGTTGATAGTTCCTTATACCTGTACCATCTGCCCAAAATATATGCATGACATTCTTAGCTGGATCTGTTTTGAATGAGTAGTAAAACAGAGGATCTTCTGATTTTTTCTGTTCAAAGAATGAGACAACTTGCATCATGTCATTCAAGCCATTATCTATTCTCATTTTCGTGCCCATGTTGCTAATCTGTTTTGCTGTGTATGGCAATGAAGAAAGCCCTCTTCCTCGAAAGAATGCCATTATTGCCATTATTTTTCTTGTTGGTATGTTCACTCGTTTGCAAGTTCTAATTAATTCCTTTTCTTGATCAGTGATGAATTTGTGTGACCTGAGGAACCTGACTTCGCCTGGAGGATGCAGATCATGGTTGTGCTCAATGATAAGCCTTGTCACCATCCACTGTGATATATCAAATTTCCAGGTAACAACCATCTGAGCTTGACACCCTGTTTTAATGGTATAGTTCCTTCTTCTGTTAGTAGTATTTTCTAGTTCAGTGGGTGCATTCTTCTCAGTCTTATATTTTCTCCTTTTTGCTCCTGCTGCTGTTGGTTTTGTCCTTATCCTAGGTTTACCAGATCTATTGCACTTCATAGTAAGCCTTGTCACTTTGTTGTTGTGTGCATCTTTCTTCTGGCAATGATAGTTCGCAGCTTTCTGAATTGAAAACCCAGCAATAGCTGAATATTCATTATAGAATCAGTGTGCATGAGCATCACTTTCAAATGTCATTCCAAGACTTGGCATGTGCCTTTTTTCATCTTCTTGGCTCAATTTTATTGCCTTTTCTATGCTGTCATTCTCAAGGAAGTATTCTATATCTTCCTGAGATAATTTTTCTTCAACTTTGTTCTGCTCCTTATTAGTACCTGCCATTTTTTCCACACCTGATGCACCAGTACTCTCATCCTGGTCCTGTTCATCTGACTGTTCAAAACCACCACTGCCATCCACTTCATTAATTTCTGTTTCTTGTTCCTGATCTTCTTTCGTTCCTTTTCAAACTCTGAATCATCGCTTCCACTAGTGCCATCTGTAGCAGTGGTTTCTGCATAATCAGGGCCTTGCAAAGCTGCTTCAGAGCTCGTTGCTCTCACTTGTTGATCAGTTGTTATCATTTGTCCCTCAAACACTGAATCGTGATGATTCCATCTTTGTTCCAACTGTTGCAGTTCTGAATGCTGTTGTTCCTCAAGCAACTGATCAGACGATAACATAATTTGTTCCAGGTATTCTTCCTCTACATCAGTTTCATTTTGATCACTATTGCACTCTGCGTAATCTTCATTTGCATCATTGTTGCAGTTAAATTCATGCTCACCATCAGATTCAGTCTCACTGCGAGTTGCTTCACCTTCATTATTACCATCATAATCATCTTCATGCTCACCATCAGATTCACTCTCACTGACATTTGCTTCTTCATTGTTGTTACCATCATCGTCATCTTCATGCTCTTGGTCTAAAGGTAAAGAATATTGTAACCAATCATTAAGTTGCTGCCCATTGTTGCCTGCACTTGGTCCTGCTGCTTGATGCTGAAACTTAAGTTGTTGCCCATTGTTGCCTGCACTTGGTCCTGCTGCTTGATGCTGAAACTTAAGTTTTTTTATGTCAGATTCTATTTACTAATGTATGTAAGTTAATTTCTAACATTTTAGAAACTTTTGGTTGCAGTAGTTCAACATACCTCAGAGCTTATGCCAGCAATCAAGAATGATGTGAAACTTGTTATAGGTATTGCCATGTTATCGCTTTGTAGATGACTCATTACTGTCATTTGTTGCATTAGCTATGTGTAAGACTGTCCTGCTCCTGGTGGTTCTAGCATGATATTGCTTGTATGCATTTTTTGCTTTCCTAGGATGAACAAATCTGATTCCTGCAAGAAACAAAAGAATGTTGTCTATGCATAAATGTTATTTCTTGAAACTTAACCTAAAATATCTTTTGTCAAATGGTAGTGATGTTTTTTGTATGAAATTTGCTTTTCTTCTAGTTTTGTGTATTTTCAGTCTCAAACATATCAAATAAAATAGTGTCTGTTGCTCCTGGTGATTCTAGTCTTTGTGAACTTTTTCAATGAAATGCTTTTGGATTTATATGCTTTGGGTAGTGTCAAAATGCATCCTGTCACTAACTATCAATTTGTTATTTCGTTCTCTCATCAAACAGACAATTATAGGAAAATACACAAACTAACCTCAGAAATCTCATTGAACGTTTGTATATGTGGCTGCATGTGTGTGTTGCCCTGATTCAAATTTTTGAGCACCTGCAATTTTGGCATGCAAATTGTTTAACAACATTCTTAAATAAAAGTGTTATTAAGTTCGGATGTCTTTTACCTTGTTGTCATGACTTCTATCTGCAATCTCTAAATACTCTTGCTGTTGAGAATGATGTGCAATTTTAGATTCGTGAAAATGCAAATTAACTCAATGTTTGAGCAATGACGAAATCATTTGTATTTTCTTTTTATAAAGCATGAGCAGTTTGAACTGTGATGATGTTTTTTAAAATGCAACTGCAAATTTAGTTATGTTAGTATGCAAATATAGATCCTGTGCGAAATTTTTGCATGCCTGCAATTTTTGTATGCAAATTGTTTTGACAGCATCCATTAATAGATGTCTTATAAAATTTATGTATTCTTGCTGTTGAAATTGCAATATATAGATGTGCAATTTTTAGGTTCTTGAAGTGTGATGATGCTTTATGAAATGCAACTGCAAATTCAGTTCTGTTAGTATGCAAATATAGATGTGCAATTTTTAGGTTCTTGAACTGTGATGATGCAGTACTAAAACTTTTTGTTCTACTGCAATTTTTTGTATGCAAATTGCTTTGACAACATCCATTAATAGCAGTCTTATAAAAATTTTGTGCCTTTTTACCTTGTTGTCATGACTTTGTATCTCCAATATACATGTATTCTTGCCGCTGAGAATGATGTGCAATTTTAGGTACCTGAAATTGCAAATTAACTGAATGTGTCAGTACTGCTGTAAATCATCTCCACTTTTTTAGCTTCATGATGCATCTTGTTTTTGTTTCTTGTTACTTCTGATCATCTCTGTCTTCTTATGGTTTGTCTATTTTTTTGCAGAACAATGCAAAAAATTCAACAAAATGAAATGAAAACTTGCATACGAAATGGAGTATATCACATACCTTTGCCTGACCACAAGGACTTTTATCACCAGGTTTCTTCCTTTTTCGTTTTGTTCTTCCTGCTGACAGATCTGAGATCTGGGTCTCAATTTGGGGATCATCCATTTTTGCTTCCAGATCTGACAAAGAAACCCTGGGGATTGGAGAAGTATGCTTAGAGGAACAATTGTCTGGGAAACTTCATCAGAAGTCTCAGAAGAAAGCAGAATATCTGAGGTATGGTTCCCCTCCCATGGCGGCTGTGTGGGAGTCGGGAGGAGGAAGACCTAGTGACGTGTTACTTATTTAGCTTACCGGGTCCAGGCCCGTTTTCTTTTTCTGGGCTAAATACAGAAAACAGGCAGAGAAAGGATCTTTAGCTTACCGGGTCAGGCCCGGGACAGAAACAGAAAGGCCTCAGCCTGTTGTTTTCGGTTGGGCTAAACTGAAACAGAAACAGAAAGAAAATCTGACTGACCTCTTTCTTCTGTCAGTCGATTTTGTTCTGCTTTGCCGGTTTGATCACATTTGTACCAATCGACTGACCTCTTTGTTGTGTCAGTCGATTCATCTATAGCCATTCCCGAGCCAGACTAGGTGTAGTTCTCGCTAGCTTTTGCGAAAGATTTTTTTTCTTTTGTAGGAAAGCTTTTGCCATACTTTGAACCCTACTAGTAATAACAATACTAAAGCTATGAACGTTTGAAATGAGAATACGATTTGCAACTACTTTTCTTTCCTGAAATATATGGCACGACATTTTGGTTGTTGTTAGCCGCGGAAACGGCCATGGATGTAAAGCCATGAACACAAGACAAAGATGCATGCCCGGGAGGAAAAACGCACGCCTTCGCCGTAGCAACCGGGGTCCCGTCGGCGTCGGTCCCAATCTATCTAGGCGAAACGTTCTTCGCTCAGGCATAACAGCACGGACCAAGACAGTGCTGTGGTCCGTACGAACGGAAGCACAGCAGCAGCAAATGATGTGCAAAATCCTTGACGGACTCTACCCACCTGGAACATCTGGCTATCCCCTGGAACCGGTTCACGTCTCCACCCGCCGTCGTTTTCCCCGGAAACGCCCCCAAAACCACGAAGTCACGGTTGGTTGCCCATCAACAGAGAAGAAGAAGAAGAACGCACCACGCACGCCACTTCCTGAGGATGATCGTACGTGCGGATGGACGTGGCGGCTGCCGGCTGCCGGCTCCTTCTCCGGTCGCACGGCCGATCGGTCCGTGTCGTTGGTCCTTCTGGCCCAGTGCGGCCCGGCCGAACGAGCGGAAACGGTCTCAGCTCGCTCGTGAGCACACGCGTCGACTCAGTCGACCGGGAAAGGAGGGCGTCTGAATGCACGTCGGCCTCGCCGCCCTCGACAACGCCTTGGCCACAAAGCAAACCATCCCCGCAAGCAACCGCCGATCACCTCACCTCCTCCTTCCTGGCCGTCCGATCCTTCCCGCGTCCGAATTAATTAATCTTCTCCTTCCGACTCACACCTTTTCCCCCCGCCACCCCGCGCCGCACGGGGGTATAAAACACCGACGCAAAACCGCCTCATCACCACGCACCCCCCGCTCCGGCCATCCTCCAAACCGTCAGCACTCAGGCCACCGGAGCTTCGCTCGCCGACCGACTCGACTCGGCCGGCGATGGGGAGGACGCTGGACGTGCTGCTGGGCCGAACCACCAAGCAGACGGCGCGCCTCAAGTCCCTCCTGCACCTCGCCACGAAGCGGATCGCCGTGGTGCGGGCGCACCGGGAGGTGCGGTGCGCGCAGGCGCGGGGGGACGTGGAGCAGCTGCTGCGGCAGGGCCACCCGGACCGCGCCCTGCTCCGCGCCGAGCAGGTCATCCGGGAGCGGGACACGCTCGACGCCCTCCTCCTGCTCGACGCCTACTGCGCGCTCCTCGCCGACCGCTCCGCGCTGCTCGACGACGCGCACCGGGGCTGCCCCGACGAGCTGCGGGAGGCCGCGGCGGGGCTCTGCTACGCGGCGGCGCGCTGCGGGGACCTGCCCGAGCTGCAGGAGGCCCGCGCCCTCCTCGCCGCCAGGTTCGGCCGGGGCTTCGCGTCGGCCGCAGCCGAGCTCCGCGCCGGCTGCGGCGTCAACGCCAAGCTCGTGCAGCGGCTCTCCACGGCCCTGCCCAGCCTCGAGAGCCGCCAGATGGTGCTCCTCGAGATCGGCGCCGACAAGGACATCCCCGTGCGCCTTCACGGCCACGCCGCCGACTCATACGAGGATCCGGCCGGCCGCTCCCACCATGGCCATGGCCATGGCCACAGGAAGAAGAGGCTCGACGACGACGACGACGACGAGCGGCGGCACGCGACGCCGCGGGCCGACGAGCCGGAGGGAGACAAGGCCGCCACGAAGCTGACGTTCAAAGACGTGGAAGAGGCGGCGCAGGCCGCGTTTGAATCGGCGGCCACGGCGGCGGCCGCAGCCAAGGCTGCCATAGAGCTCTCGCGAGCAGGGTCCGGCAGCACCGACGACAGGCACAGGAGGAACCCAGGAAGGGCGCATGCCGACGACGATGAGGCTTTCCACGGCGGCGAGGATCTAGCCGATCGCAAGACCTTCGAGAGGATTGGACATGTTCGGAACTACAGCTCAGAATCAGATGGAGAGGATCTGCCGGAGAAGAAACGTGGAGAAGAGCAGGATACGCCCAGGAGCAGGCCGGCTTCAGTCAGGACCAACAGAAGACTCTAGCAGAGTAGCAGATTAGCTGCAGTCATATGCCTATAGCAGAGATGGTTTCTTGATTTAGTTGTATTGATTGATAGCAGTTGGACTTTTGCAGCTATATATTGCAGATCATTCATTACTAAATTTTGTGTATGCGATGTAAATAGAGAATTGGGAGAGTAAATAAATATTAATATGATTCCGATTTTTCACCGAAGAACAGAGAGCAAAAACCATGAGCTGATGTTGTCAGTTATAGGCTCCTCGATATAATTTAAGATGGTGAAAAAGTTATATTACACAACTGGTTCAAAACATGTTGCAAACCTCAGATAAACTACTACTGACGCTACCAGCTAGAGTTCTCGGAGCAGACCATCTGTTTGGACAAACTACAACACCCTGACTAAGAAACTAGCAAAATCATGGAGCTGTTTGGCTGATAACATACATCTGATCTGAGATACTCCCATGCCCCTCTACATCCTCAGCGAGAAACTTTTCTCCTTTTGTTGAGACTCGCCAGCATTTCACTGTACGGTTGGAAGTTCACATCGACATCTTCATCATACTCAAGACCAAGTTCTTCCTGCACACACAAATATTATTCAGCAATACGATGGCTAGCAGGGTGACAGCAATAGAAAGTTAACTCACAAGAGGCGGTGAGAACAAATGAACTAAACAACTACCAGTTACAGCCGGCCATTCAAGTGCCCAAATAGAAAAAAGCATATATCCATTAATCAAGTGTCAAAGGCAAAACAAGAAGGGGAAACAAGAACCTTAAATTCCTTCTGGTCTTTGGGGCTATTCTCAGTGATGTTATCCCATAGCTCCTTGAACATCCTCTTTCGCTTTCTCCACTGGTTAGCTTTCTCAGAGAAGGTCTCCTCAATTATCTTCTTGTCTTCAGGTTTCACCAAGATCACACCACTCTGCAATTTCTTTAATTTTTCTTCCATTTCCTGGACCTGCATAAACATGAGCTCTGCCGCTAAAACTTGGTTGAACAAACACACTCATGTGCACTAAGAAGCATATTAACATGCACACATACCTCACTTTGTAATCTGGCCTCCTTTGACCTAATCTCTTCCAGTGTCAAGTTTGACTGTAGACCCTTTATCTCTGCGATAGGATTTGTACTTAGCTACCACTAATAGTTGCTTACTGCATTGAGAAAGAGCACAAAGACCATGGCACCAAACAGAGCTTACCAGATTCGACCTCACTAGTAATTTTCTTTTGTTCTGCGAGTTCTTCCTGTAGTTTGCTATTTGCTTTCTTCATCTCCTCAAGTTCCTCCCCATTTGGAATGTCGAACTGGTCTTGCCGAGCAAGGTAGATTTTCTGCTTGCCATACTCCTTGAAGGATATTTGACCACTGTCAGCCAATGCATCCAGTCCTTTTTGCACTGCAGTCTTCTTAAGACTAAACTTCTGTAGTGCATCAGCCACATTCTGAGAATTCAATGGCCTATTTTGCTGCATAATCATAGCAATAGTCCACTCATCATTATTGCCTAGTATGGTAAAGACTGGAGCGAAGACGGAATAATCTTAAATCATCTCTTGATATTTTGCATAAAGTTCACGCACAGTATACAACTTCTTTTACAAATAATGTTCTAACTTTGCATGATGATTGGTTCTAACCAAACTGATGTAAGAACAGTGTCTGAAAGGAAACATCAGCGTGAAACTAACGATGATAATGATAACTCATGCGGTAATACAGTAATGCTTCAGGTGCATATAATCGCAACACCTTTAAGATACCAAAATAAAATAACCTATACTGCTTATATAAAAACAGCCTGAACTGAAGAGTGCAAAATTTATCTGGAAATACTAGTGTATCCATTTGTAAGCACTTGACTTCCAGTCACAATCAGCCTTAGAGGATACTTGTCATACAAAATCACAGACGGATACTTCTATGGAGAGTATAGTTAAGCAGATGGGAGACAGTTCAAGACAGAAGTTAATGAAGTATTGTTGACTACATCAAAACATCCGCAGACCAGAATGCAAGACACGCTGAAAAGAAACATTTTCTTGAGTTGAGACAACTATTCAATCTTAGGAACCACCACCAAAATTCCAAAGACAGGTGTGAACTGAAGAATGAAACAGCTTCAGTCCTTTGGATTCTGTCAACCCTACGATAAACAAAGTAATGGAATGCGCATAGACCGATTATCTGGACTGACAACTATGTTTTTTTTAACATAGCTCAGAATTGTTCAAGTCGCCTCTCACAAAGCAACTACAGATGACAGCCAGCATAAAAAAACAAACAGCATGCTGTCACGACGAACCTCCCCACGACTAATCATCGCCTTCATATGCCGCTTGTCCCGCCAAAAGGAGGGTAAGCCAATACACGCTCCTAACATTGAAGATGTTTAACAGGTACTGAGGTAGAACCTACCTAGCATCGTTTGGTACAGACTACAGAACGACGCATCCCTGCTAAAGTTCACAAACATTCCGACACGGGACAAAACACCAACGCTTGCCCTGCAAGCGCGGCGGCAAGCGCAAGGTTGACCCCCTAAGCGGAGGCAGGCAATCTGGGTTCGAGGGTTTTGACGGAGGGGGGTCGTTACCTCGTTGACGAAGTTGAGGACGATTCCTGCACAGGAAACCGAGACAAGAAGGTCAGAAACAGGACGGTCGGATACGCCCACACACAAGACTGAGCAAACGACTGGTGGAATTGGGGGCGGAATCGAGCGGGGGGAGGTCAAATC